GGAACAAGCATTTACTAAGCACCTACTACGTGCCAAGTACTGGGCTAATAAGCACTTTACAATTCTTTCTCAACCTAGAGAGATTTGTAAAGACAGAATCTATCTTGCTTTTATGCTGTATCCCAGGGATTAGCACAGGGTATCTTCTTAATTATTATCCTTCTAAACCTTCACACCCCAAATAATGCCATTATCTACCCTTTTTTCTAGAAATTCTTCCTTTCCTTTGTTTCTGTGACACATCCACTGGTTCTCTTAGATTCTTTTCCATCTTCCCTCAGTCTACTGTGTCTCCAGAACAGGGGTGAGCAAGGTGAGCAGCAGGACACAACATGCAAGAGATGGCTTGATGAGACACTTTAATAAAAAGACTTTATAAATGTGGGTGCTTAAGGCCAGAAAATTCTGCTTTCCATGACACACAGGCCCTTATTGTGTTAAGCTGTATATGGCTCAAAGCCTCAAAGTGTAAAACATAGGAGCACCAACTTTCAAACCCTACCTAACGAGTACAAATGCCTCATCTAAACTCAACTATGCTAGGTTCAGTTTAGACCTTTGTCTTTCCTTAGTTTACACTTGATACTTTCCAAGATTAATACATTCCCATTAATTTTCACTACTGCAGATGGCCCTTAAAACTACACAGAAGTTCTCTCTAACCCTTTACCCTCTCTGTTCCTTCATTCTGGATGTTTGAGATACACAAACATGATCAGAATCAACTTTTGATTATCTGCACAAATGGAAGGAGTAGTGAGTGCTACCATTAAATTTAAAAGAGAGAACTCAAAAAGAAATTTTATTCAATTTTTTATTTTATTTTTTATTCCATTTCCATTTTTTATTCCAGACACATTTCCCCTCAACAAACTTCCTTTCCTAATATTTTCTTCAGTTTAATATGAAAATTCATCATACGCATATTCATAGACTCAGAAGCGGAAAGAACTTTATAGACCATTTTGTACAACTTCATTTCAGAGATGAGGAACTAAGGCCAAGAGAAGTGACTTGCCAAAGGTGACACAAAAAGTAGTCATCTGTATTTCCAGAGCACAAACCAAATAGGAGTTGGGGGTATAACTGTCAGGAATATTCCAAGTAGCAAGTTAAAGCTGGGCTGACATTTAAAAACTGATTATGAAAAGTGTTGATCTTTGCAATATCTCTGGACCCCTCCTCTCCTCTAATACTGTCACCATTCTCGTGCAGGCCCTCAACACCTTACTCCTTGATTACTACAACAGCCAGCTGATGGATCTGCCTCCCTCAATTCTCTCTCCATTCCAATCCATCTATTCTGCCATCAAAGTGATTTTCCTAGCACAGGTCTGATCATGTCACTATTCAATAAATTCCAGTGGCTTCCTATCACTTCCAAATACAAATACAAAATGCTCTGTTTGACATTTAAACTCCTTCATTACCTAGCCCCCTCCTACCTCTCCATTCTTTTTATACCTTACTCCCAACCATGCACTCTTTTGATCCAGTGACACTGGCCTTCAGGTTGTTTCATTAATAAGACACTCCTTATCTCTTGGTTCCAGGAATCTTCTCTGGCTTTCCCCTTTGCCTGGAAAGCTCTCCCTCCTACCCTCCAAGTACTGACTTCCCTGGCTTCCTTTAGGTCCCAACAAAATCCCACTGAACATTATCTTTCTCCTTAGATCATAAGCTCTTAGAGGGCAGAGATTGACTTTTGTCCCTTTTGTATCTCCAGCCATCCCGATCTATATCTGACCACTGGACCCAGATGGCTCCAGAGGTGAAAGAGAAGCTGCTGACTTTGCACAGCCCTCCCTCACTTACATCCAATTCACCTGCATGTCATGGCATCACTTTCCTGATGTAATGGTTTTCTTCAAGAATGAAGGACAAACAGCAGCAACAGTGCCTGGCCCATAGTAAGTTAAACATTTATTGATTGATTAACCATGTCAAAAAAAAATTAATGACTCCACCCCAATAGTGAAACCTTCATAATCTAGGCACTGTCATCAATGGCAGAATCATTTGCCCTATGAATTACAGAATCTGAAGGGACCTCAGCAGCTATTTAATCCAATCCACAAATCAAAGAAATTCTCACTATAAGATACTCAACAGCTTGTCATCCAGGCTCTGCTAGAAGACCTCCAAAGAAGAGGATCCCACTACCTCTCCAGCTCATTCTACTCTTAAAGAGCCCTGTTGGCAATTTTTTTCTGACAGCTAGATAAATTTGCCTGGGTTTGTAAATTTTTTTGTTTCTTTACTTTGCCTTACATTTCCAACCTACTACCAAATCCAGCCAATTCTTTTACCACATCTCACAGAGGCAATTCTTCTTTGACCTCCATAATTACTATCCTGGTCTTCTCCAATTCACAAATGAACTATTTCATCTACATCTTCAAATTCTCTGCAATCCAAGTATACATGTTACTAGAAAAATCTCCCACGTATACATAATTTTCATCCTGTTACTATCCTCCACTGCATTAGAACCAATAGTGGCTCCTCATCATCTAATTTAACACACTCAAACTTAAGCAAAGCATTACAATTCAGCCTCCTACCTATATCACCAAATTCATTTTTCATATTCATCAATAGGCTTTCTGTTCCAGCCAAGCAAATATGCTTGGAATTTCCTGCCTGTCGTTCGCTCATTCTCACCTCCTTACCCTCAAACATGCCATTCCCTTCTTGAAAATGCCTTCTTTTCCACTGCCAATCCACATCTCTCCTCTCTAAAATCCACCTACACTTTTGCCAACCTCATACCATTATTCTCCTGGCCAAATGCTGACAGACCAAACAAGGAGGATGCACGAAAAGGAAGGTCTAAGTTAAAATTTGTTACCTAAAAAAAAAATTATTTCTAAAAACTAGGTACTCATCTTTTTTTGGACTTGCTTAGATGTTTCTTGGATTTATTTTAGGTACATGCCTGTTCTACCCCACCAAATGGATGTGTGAAGATAAGAATTACGGCCTTTATTTTCTTGCTATTTTTCTACAAAACTCACAATTAGTTCTCAAACTCTGATTTAATAAAACTAAGCAAGTCTAAGTGAATCATTCCCTATTTTCATGAAAAAGTAAAACAAGTATAACTTCTAATCACTGAAAGAAGCAAACACAGAAAGAAAAGCCTAACAATTATATTAAGAGCTCTCTTTCCACAAACAAGAATGGGTTACTACCCCAAAATGATAAGTACCCAACAAAAAATTTAAGAAAAATCAACACATAAAATAATGGCAATGGCCACCTGGGCAAAAAAAAAAAATACAAGCAAGCCCTGACAGAAGAAAAGCAGTTGTACTACCCTTTTTATGATTAAAAATGTGATCCTACCCAGTAGGCACATGACCTTGGGAACCAAACTGAGGAAATGGACAGGGATAAAAGAGAAATAAGAAAATAACACTCCCCCAAAAGCCTGAAAAATAAATAAAATAAATAAATAAGACAACCAATTCACTACAGCAGTGCAAATTATAACAACACTACTACCAAAAAATAGAAATCCTCATAACCCTGCAAGAAATGGAAGAAAATAACCACTTTCAATACACTGCATAATGAGAAAATGCGAAAAACATCCTCTTCCTTTCCAAGTATCTAAAAAGTCTAGGCGAGATGAAAAAAGATCCTCTTCCATTCCACTTTAACCTGGTTATTGTTAAAAATGTAATCTGAGGTCATGAACCAAAGCAAAATTAACTGGCTCACAAAGAGTTTAAATGTAATCCTAACAAACCTAAGAAGCCAAACTATCTAACACATATACACATAGCCCAAAACCAACAGGAAAGTGGACTGGACAAACAGATGCTCAGGAGACAGAAAAGTTTTTTTCAGCTTCCACGAAAGTGGTTGACTGAGGCTAATACCTAACCAAAGCATTACTAAGCATATAATAACACCTCTACAACATGCAAACGTATAATTCCTCTACAGAAGAAAGGATATGTTAACTTACCTAAAAAAATAGCAAAAACAGCAATTTATACCTCACAGACTAGCTCACTTTTCAATTTTTCTCAATATCCACCTAGGAACAAAATAACTGCAAAAGAAACAGTACAAGAAAACTTCCCCAAATACAGAACAGCACCGATGATTGAAAAATTCTACAGACAGTAACAATGTTCAAACCCAGTTAAAGGGCAGCAGATAAAAAGAGCAGTGAGAAGAAACTGGGGGGTGGGGGGAAGTGTCAAGAATAGGAATGCCCTTCCTCAGTGTCTCCAGACACCCCCCCCCCGAAAAGGTGAAACCTGACTAATCTCTTCCTCCTCTCATTTGGCAATAATTCAAAATCTTCAAGTGTCTCCTCATCTCCACTAAAGCAACCAAACCCCAATTCCACCCAGGGCCCTCAATCCTCCAAGGCATAAAAGGAAAAAAAGGGGGGGGTTGAGATTTGGACGGGGGAACAGGGGACACACCACGTGGGCAGGATGCAAACACATCCAGAACAGAAACACGTCTGCACCGAGCAGCTGCCGGCCGGGGTTGGCCAGATCGGCAGCAAAGGACACGGGGACAGACAGGATGGGTGGGAGGCCGGCCGATCTGGCCATCCCGAGGAAGGGGAGCAGCGCAGGAGGTGTGAAGTCCTCCCGAAAAGCCGCATCCTGCCGAGGCTCCGTCCTCACAGGACACAGGAGGCTCCCCAGAGAGGGGGCGTGGGAGGCTAGAGGGGGGCGCGGCGCCCGCAGCACAGGGGCCCGGCGGGGGAGGGGCGCGCGGCGCCCTCTGAGGGGCAGCAGCAGCTGAGGGGGGGAGGGGGAAGGGCGCATGGGAGAGGGGGAGGGGGTGGCCGCTGCCCTCGAGCCTTCGCAGGCCCGCCCGCCAGGCTCTGCTCCCCTCCCCCGCCCCCTCGGCGGCCAGCAAGCGGCCAGCGAGCACCCCACACCGGGCTGGACTCGGCCCCGGCCCCGACCCTGGAGATGCCCCAGCCCCGCCTCCTTGCTCCGGCCGTCCGAGGGGCTTGTCCTCACCTCAGGCTTCGGAGGCCGGGGCGGCCCAACCGAGCCCCCGGCCCGCTCCGTGCGTATCCGTCCCCCCCCAAGAAAAGCCCCAACGGCGGCTGATGTGAGCGAGCGGCCAAGGTACCGAGCAGCGCCCACGGTGGCGGCGACAGCGACGGCTACGACGGCGGCGGCAGCAGCGGGAGCAGCCAACATCCGGGGCCGCGCACCCGGAACTACTTCCCTCCTCCCGGCCCCCCCCCTTTCCCCCTCTTCCCACTACCCACTCCTGCGGGCGGCGGCGACGACGTCGCTGCGCTCCGTCCTGGCGTCAGCGCCGCCTCTTCCCGCGTTCCGGTCCTCCTGGGCGCAGCACAGAGCTGGAACTCCGAGATCCCTCCGCTGGGAGAAATAGTGCTCCGGGCCCGCACTAGTCGGCTCTCTTCAGCTTTGCCCTTGGACGCGGCAGGCGGAAGCGGGCGGGCGGCTCCGGGGCTGCGTCCTTGCCTCTCAGCGCGCAGCCTGACGACCCCTAGTGGCAGGGAGGGGAGAGAAAGGGAGTCTGGGGTGCGGGAGAGCCAAGCTTGGAAGCCAGTGCGGGCATCCGAGGCAAGATGTCACTGGCCCCCGTAAAGAGCCTGATCCTCGTGGAATTTAGGATGGAAAATGGGCCTTAGGGACTGTCTGACCAACACGCCCCTTGTTTCATTTAACAGAAGGGAAAACTGAGGCTTAGGGAGCTTTAGGGACTTTCCAAAGGTCACACAAGTCAACAAGCAAGCAGTAGTGGGAACTGAAGGTAATCGATTTAGTGTGTGTGTCCCCCCCCCCCGCCCCTTAGCTTTGTGCGGGATGTCCTCCTATTCCTGGAGTGCCCTCCCTCCTGGCTTCCCTGGACTTCTTCTCAGCTTAAATTTCACCTTCTGCAGATCTCTTCCCACCCCTACTCCCGTTCCCTACCCCTTCCTTCCTTCTGGCACTGCCTAACATTTACATTGTATTTATCTGGTTTGTTCCTAGTCCCGGTTGTCTTCACCTATTAGGATGGAAGCTTGAGGCAGGGGCCTGTTTGGTTTTTTTGGGGGGGAGGTTCCCCTTTCTTTGCCTTCTTTGTACCTCCCCAGTACTTAGCACAGTGTCTGACGCAAAGTAAGTGCTATGTAAATGTTTAGCTATTATTTTATTTGTACATACCTAGTCTTTGGCATGAAATGTTAGTTGACTGATTAACTGATGCAGCTATTAAGTGGCAGGGCCAGGATTTGCTCCTAGGGCATAGGCTAAAGATTGATCAAGCTATAAGAGACCTTAGAAATCATAGAATCCTGTCCCCACGTGTTGCCAAGGAAGAAACTGAAGTCCAAAGAAGGAATTGCCCAAAGTCACACAGACAGGAAGTAGCTGAGCCAGCATTCCAAACCAGGTGCTCTAAGCCTAAATCCATTCATTGCTCAGCTGGCCTGAACTGATTTGGAGCCATGAAATCCTAGTAGCTCCGAGGCAATTGATCAATCAGGGAATGTTTATTAAGCATTTACCACGTGCTAGGCACTGTACTAGGTAGGGTTTCAAAAAAAGAACTAAGGGTCGAAAGCCCAGGGAAGCCTGATGAAGGTTAGGATAGCAGGTTGGGGCGGGGGAGGGGGGGTGACCTGCAGCCTCAAGGCCACATGTGCCCTCTAAGTGCTTCAGAGTTTGGACTCAGTCAAAGGGCCACACTTGAACACCTAGAGGACCACATGTGGCCTTGAGGCCTCAGGTTCCCCATTCCCCACCCCTGTTATAGATGGATGTTGGGGCAGAGAGATCCTTGTGAATGATGGAGCCTCCAGCTGTAACAGCCCTTGGGCTTTTACACACACAACTGAACAGCCTAGGTGAGCAGCCTAGAAGAAAGCAAAGGACTGAATTTGACATCAGGAAGACCTAGGTTCCAATCCCTCATTTGCCACTGTGACTTTGAGCAACTTACCTAAATTCTCTGGGTCACAGTTTCTAGTTTCTGTGTTTGAATATGAAATGGAAAGAGGTGGGGAGAAGGTTAGACTAATGGATCTGAACTCCCAACTCTAAATCTATGTCTTTGTGCTACTAATAATAATATTCCTCCCTGACTGACTCCTTCCTGTCCACTAATTCAACAAATGTTTATTTAGTGTCTGCTGTGTAAGTGCCCTTGGCCAGTGTATGCTTGGGGGGGGGGGAGATATCCACATATCCACATATTCGCTATTGCAATAATTACTAATGGGCCAATGAACTTTAAGGTAATAGATTTTAGGACTGGGGGAAAAGTTAGCATGATATCATCTCCCCAACTAGATGATAAACTCCTTACTTATTTGTGTATTACCATATAACACTTAGCATAATACCATGTATGCCTTGTAAGTGGTCAGTACATATCTATTGGATTGAAAATTAACTTCACTGTCCTGTATTGTTTACTGCTCTTAGTATGTTAGTCATCTTCCACAAAGGTGAGGCCTCTTATCTTTTGTATTGCCCATAGCCTATCACATAGTAAAGAGGTTATTTCAGTAGGAGGAGCCTCTCTCTGCCCACTCACTGATGAACTGATCATCTGAATGAAGGGAAAAAAAAAAAGGAGGTCCTCATAAAATGGCCCTATGAACAGATCCTTGCTTCATACATGTGGTCTTCCATGTCTGGAACAGATGTCTTTCTTTCCCCAGGCCTCAGAACCCCTAGCTTCCTTAAGGTGCAGCTCAGGGGCCACATGAGCCAGGCTTTTTATGATCCCTGGGTAATTTAAAATCCTCTCATTCCAAACCCCTAAGAATGTTCTCTTTTCCTCTTTCCCCCCAACCCTGATCCCCCCATGGGAAATAAGATCTCTATCAGGAATAAGAAGAACTCTCCTTGTATTGGACTGAGATTGTCCTGCATCCAACATGTGGAAAATAGATGTGATATGGTAGAAAGTACAACTGTAATGCAAATCAGAAAACTGAGGTCATGGTCTGAGCTCCACTACTAATTAGCTCCATGATGGCAAGTGAATGATAAACTCTCTGAGCTTCAATTTCCTTATCTGTAATGGTTGGACTAGATCTCTAAGTGCCCTCTAACATTCAATGCTACATTGTAGTAGCCACAAAAGAAACTTTCAAAACTGGACTCTGCTTCCCATTCAAATTATCATCTACCATTTTGGTCCCCACTATTACCATGTCTATAAAGAGTAGTCTACATTGTTTTGTCCTCCACCCCTTGCAATATGGCTGTTCACAGAATTTATAGGTTGGAAGAGACCTCAGTGGCCACCTATACTCAAAAAGAAATTTCTTCTATACCCTACCTGATCATATAACCTTTGTTTGAAGATCTCAAATAAAGAGGAAACCTCTACATTCTGAGGCTGTCCATTCCACTTTTGTGCAACTCTTAATTGTCAGAAGGTTTTCCCTTGTATCAAGCCTAAATTTGTCATTATACAACTTCCATCTATTCAATCAGTCAGTGATATTTATTAAGCACCTCCTCTCCACTGTATATCCCTATAGTGCTAAGCGCTGGGGACAAAAAAAGAGGCAAAAAACATTCCTTGACCTCAAGGAATTTACAATCTAATGGGAGAGACAACATGAAATAAATATATACAAAGCAAGCTGTATACTAGATAAATAGTTCTCTCTTCTGGGGCCAAGGAAAACAAGTCTAATCACTGTTCAAATACTTAAAGAATGCCACAGAAGCCTCCTCACATTGGAAATACACTTCAACTTTGTGGCCCCTTCCTCTGATTGTCGGGTCCCTCTTGGAATCTTCATCTTAAGGAAAGTGTCTAGGCCAACCATGTCTTCATTCTTCTCCAGGCTGTACTCCTGACTCTCTGGACTTTTCTCTACCATGCCACAGAAGCCTCCTCACCCTGAAAGCTACATTTCACTTTGCAGCCTGTTCCTCTGATTGGCTAGAACACCCATGCCAGCCATGTCTTCATTTCTGTCCAGGATCCACTTCTGATTCTCTGGACTTTCTCCACCATGCACCTGTGCAAGGACCTTCTCTTCCTCAACCCCTCTCCTGGCTTTTCAGCTCCTTTTTATGTGTTGTCTCTTTTTATTAGGTTGGCAGCTCTTTGAAGTCAGAGACTTTCTGTTTGTAGTTATATTCCCAGAGCTTAGCACAGTGCCTGGCACATGAGTACTTAATAAATGCTGCTTGGTGACAAGTTGACTTGAGGATTGTTATCATGTTCTCCATAAGCCTCTTCAGCTTAAACATTCCTGGTTTCTTCAGCTAATGCTTATATAATATGAACTCAAAGACCTATCACTGTCCTTTCTCTGGACAGTCTCCAGGTTGTCAGTGTACATCCTGAAATGTGGTATTCCCTGGCACTCAACTATTAGCTTTCTCCAAGGTCACCATTTGCCTTATTGGGTTTTTATCTCCCTTGACCTATTTATAGCATCTGACATTGTTAATCACTGCTTCTTTCTTGATTCTCTCCTCTTCCTTAGCTTCCTTGACATTGCTCTTTCCTACTTCTCTGGTATTTCTTTAGTTATCTTCACCTCTTCCTCTTTCTCTACCAGTCCTAAAAGTAGGCATGCCCTGCCAAGTCTCTCTATACATAGCTGGCTCTCTCTGCTGCATTCCTTAACAATATTACCCACTCCTGAGACTTATTTTAAATTTCTGTTGTCATTTACTTATTTTCTTTTTTTATTAATTTATTTTTAATTTTCAACAATCACTTTCATAAGCTTTTGAGTTTTAAATTTTTCTCCCCCTCTCTCTAGACCTCCCTCCCCAAGATGTCGTACAATCTGATATTGACTCTACATATATATTCCTATTAAACATATTTTCACATTAATCATGTTCTATGAAAGAATTAGAACCAATAGGAAGAACCACAAGAAAGAGGAAACAAAACAAAACAGAAGGAAAAAAAGAGCAAATAGTATGCTTCAATCTGCATTCAAACTCCAAAGTTCTTTCTCTGGATGTGGATAGCATTTTCTATCATGAGACTTTTAGAGATGCCTAAGACTTATTTATATACAACCACCAATCAGAATCTAGATTTCTAACCCAGTTCTCTCCTCAGCACTAAAATCTTTAATCACCAATTGCCTATTTAGCTTCCCTGCCAACAATTCAAAATCAACATGTCTAAAACAATAAATTCATCATCTTCCTCCTCAAGGTCTGCCTGA